AACTCCATGGTTCCCCCACCGGGACACGAACTGGCAACCTTCTTGCTGCGAGGCAACACTGCTAACCAACTGCGCCACCTTGCAGCCCAAAATTAGCTCTAAATTTTGCAAAAATTTCAAAAGCAGTCTTTGTACATAATTGTAGCGACAGTTCTACTGAAGCAATGTATGCATATAGTTCGATCCAGACAGAAATACAAGGATGTTACATCCAGCACGGGGTTCAGAGACTGTTTACTGTAGTGGTAGTTGTACGTTTCTCAGCTCCTGCTCAATAATGCAAAACTCAGTGCTACTCTGCTCTGCTCTAGACTACGGCCTGCAGCAATCAGATGGACAGGGTAGTGTGTGTGTGTGTGTCTGTGTGGGTTAGTGTGTGTGTGTGCTAGTGTGTGTGTGTGTGTGTGTGTGTGTGTGTGTGTGAGGGAGAGAATAAGAGAGATAAGATATGAGCATGTGTGAGTCTGTGTGTCTGATGGAGCGTGAAGTGTGTATGAGTGAGTGTTTTTATGTGCATGCATGCATAAGGATGAGAGGAATTACATAAGACTGTCCTAGTTGTGTGTTTTCTCCTTTCCCTTGTTTTCTCCCCTTTCCTCCCGGACTCTCCCTTCCCAACCTCCCTGCCTTTCTGTTCCTCTCTCCTCCCCTCTTCGTCTATCCTTTCCCCTCAGTTTCATATTTGCTGCATTGTGTGTGTGTGTGTGTGTGTGTGTGTGTGACCATGTGCAGACTATGCATTATGCAACCTTCGCTATACAGAAGGTGTGATGGCGAAGAAAGTGCAGAACGGGGAACGAGGAAGGTGTTGTGGCGTTAGTGGTGGTGAGAAGAGAGAGAGTCGGGGGGGGGTTTCTTGCCGGAGTTTAATCCATTTGGCAGTGTACTGTGTCTGGCTTTCTGTTTGACTGCTCTTAAATCTCACGCCAGCCAGCCACATAAGTTAACTTCCCCTATAATCTGCGCTCTGATGCTCCGGAGGCGTGTCAGATCAAGGCCGGAGTGTGTCAGAGCCGGAGGAGATGAGAGTCTCCACGCTGCTGACTGGCCTTTTTGTCTCTCGGCCCCCAGTGTTAATCCCAGGTCAAGACTATTAGTCCCATGATCAAAGAGGAGCCACGGCATTGTCGCCGGCTGGGGGACTTCAACATGCTATTTATGGCTCTATAGGCTGGATTAGAAACACACTGCTTGCCCCCCTTTTTTTTTTTTCCTCCCTCCTCCCTTTTATTTCTTTCTATAAGTTCAAGCGTCTGTTCATGACACAAACAGTTCCGGGTATCCCGTTACGCAACGCATTGACAAGAACATAATGTTACTGTATAAACAGGAAAACTAAACAGGCAGTGTAATGTTCAAATAACTGACCCAGAAAAAGGATGGAAGCATGTGTGGATTTATGTGAGACAGAATGAGAGAGAGAGAGAGCATCACATAACCAGCTCGCTGAAGATTCTCCACCTTTTCCTCTCACACTGAATGAATCACGGCCTCTGAGCTACCATGTGTGTGTGTGTGTGCATATTAAAGATCTCCTCTGTTCGTAACCATAATCTGGTAATTGCTCATTAGGATTGAGATCAGGAGATTACTTTCTGCAGGGTTCATCTGCTGCTTGTGTTCCCAACATATTTTCTTACATGTACGCCCGCCGCATTCCTGCATGTGTGTTCGCATGCATGTGCGCGCTAAGCGGCAGCGCTATGAGGCGGGATAACCGGGGTAACGGTCTTCTGTACAGCCGCTGCAGTCAGTCAGCCAAGATTAGAAGGCAGAGATGCTGCTGATGATAAATTAACTCGCATGCGTGACCGAGCAGACAAATAGCCTGAAAAACAGTCAAGGTTTATTTAGAACAAAAGGCAAGGTGAAGTTGAATGCTTTTCATTTGCCGTATTTGCTCGGATGCACTCAAATGGAGTAATGTGTATTAGGAATATAAGTGCGGAGTAAAAAAAAAAAAATATTACAGCTGATGTGAAGGCAGAAATAGCCTGTATCTTCTTCAACAACAACAACAACAGCAGCAGCAGCAGCAGCAACGAGGAAAACACACTGATAACCACAAATGAAAACTGCGCTCTGTAATTTAGACGTTACAAAATGTCATCTGGGCACCTCGGGCCGGCTAGTATCGGTGATGTGTTGTTCTGTCTGTGACGGCGTCTTGTGGGCATGCCCGCGGACAAGACTGTGACAGGAAACAGTTTGTGTGCCGGAGTGATGGAAGTGGCGATGTGGAACAATCTGATGAAATGATGTCTGTTTCACCTCCTCCAGCTAGGTCACAGCATCCCTCGCGGACCAAAACCAATCTCAATAACTTTCTGTCTTTCTCTTTTTGTCTCCCTCTCTCTCTCCCGCTTTCTCTTTCTTCCCGTCGTTTCCCTCTGCTCTCTTTACCTCCAACTCCAGTGTAAGACCTTAGCAGGGATATGCGACCACATCATCTCTCTGTCGTCGGACTCTCTGGTCTCTCAGTCTGCCCATCTGGAGGTGGTCCATCTTACCAGCATCATGCCCAGCGAAGGGCTGGTAAGGACACACCTGAGGATTCAAACATACAAACCAGAAGCTCCGCAAATCAATATTTCTACTTTAGCAATGGATTAAATTAGTATTTGATCAGAAAGGGGTCGCTGATGGTGTCAAAGAATTATCACCCTTTACCTGGGTTCTTGGCACAATTTGCATTCTTGTTGTTCTTGTCACAACATAGTGCAAACATTTCCACAACATAAAGACTGTCCTGTCTAACATCTCACTAGCTGATGTAATTGTAGGAATGGATAACTTCCACGTGTACGCCACCTGGCAAAGAAAA